ATCTGTTCGGGGACATGGTGTATTTGAAAGGAAAGGTCTGAGATAACCTATCACATCAGTGAACCACAAGTCCTTATATAGTAAGCCCCACCCCCCCTTCCCACTTTGCTCCTGTCTGGCTGAGCTTTCTCCACTGACACTGTCACCCCTGCCCCCTGCCCCCTGCCCCCTTGCAATGCTGAAGAGGGAAGAGGGCTCTTGGTCCACAATGAGTCAAGCATGACAAGAATCTGGGTCTCGTTGAAAGGCTCAGGCCTCTGGCTGCATTTCTCTCTCCTTTGCCTCTTACACTGTTGCCAAGGTGAGAGGTTGCCAAGGAGTAGATTTGACCTCTAGGAAGGAGCACTTGGGAGGTCAGCTGGCAGCCCCATTCTGGTGGTCCTTGGTCAGCAGGGGACGGCTCTCCCGGCTGCCCTGCTATGCTGCTGGAGGGAGAGTTGACTGGTAAGGGTTGCTAAAAGTGGGATCAGAGCTCTGTGAAAACTGGCAACTACAGGGAGCACGAGTGTTATCTTATTACCCTGCCCAGCATCCGGGAGGGAGGGTTTCACTGTATTCCATGGCAGATCCGGAATTTGAGTCCCTGCTCATGGAAAACCCATGTCTGTAGCACCTTTACCTTTTCTTGGTCTCTGCTGCAGCCCCCTCCATGTTGTGTGGAGACAGGAACTCTCTCAAGACTCAGCCATGGCTGTCTTCATCTGCTTTAGGCAGGATATTTAACTTTATCCAACTTTTAGACTTGGGAGGTTTTGTCACCTGTGAGGGACAGAAGGAAGGAAGTGTAACATGGGACTGCATTATGTCCCTGCTTGCAGACATCCGGTCTCTGCAGCCTGCTTTGTCTAAGGCTGTTGCCTTTACCTTTGCGCTCCTCTAATTATCGAGGTTACAGATGCTTGCTGTGTACTGCCTTGGGTGGCCATTCCAGCTCTGCCCTCCCCCATCCTCCACACGAGAGGATGAGGTCAGTGAAGCCCTCCCTGGTCTGCCTCGGGTCCTTTTCTGCTCCGTATGCTGGAGACACCTGTCAAGCCGGCTCTCAGACTTGCAGTGGACAGTAACTGAGATGACAGATGGGAAAACACATTTTGGGTTCACTATACCAGTGATTTCCAAAGTGTTGGCTGGGACCCTGTGAGTAGCGTTCATTCTCAGGCCGCCCTAGTCTTCAGAGTCAGGGGACAGGCACTGGTCTGGGGTAACCAGTTCTCTGATACAGTCCAATGTTTGGGAACCCCAGCCTTACCCAGATCTAAGCAATTGGGCAAGTTTCTGCTGTGTACTTGGTGCTAAGTGTTGGGTGTCTTCTGTTTCAAAGACATAAAGGACAAGGTCCATTCTCCCAAATTGTCCTTATGGGCTTGTTGGAAAGACGGAAGGGAGGAAACTCACATTGAAGTTCTTTACTTGCTATGGAGAGCCTTGTTTTAACAGGCAGGGAAATGGGGGTTCAGAGAGTGAGGTGGGCTTATCTGAATGTACACATACATGTGTGACTGCCAGTCACCAGTCCTCTGTTCCAGGCTGTACACACACACACACACACACACACACACACACACACACACACTCCTGCAGATGAACTGCTCATTCCCATGGTCCCCATGGGTGGTCCTTCTTCACGGGTTTCTCAGGAAGGTTCCTGGGTCATCATCAGAGCTCAGGCTGTACCCTGCCCGAGGAAGTGGCTTCCTCAGTAGCTTTTAGATGGTGGTCACAAATATAGCAGGTTACAGACTTCAGCCCCAAGGGAAGGCAGGAAGATCGGGGGTTCAAAGACCATCCTTGGCAACATAACAAATGTAAAACCATGCCGGTCTTCAGGGCTACAGGAGACCCTGTCTCAAGAAACCAAAAATTAATAAGAACTCTTCTGTTGGGAGCGTCCAGAAGTATGAAGTGGGTTGGACTGTGAGGGCTCTGAGGGAACTGACCAGTGAGGTGAAGAAGGTAGTCAAAACCTGGATGAACAGCTTTTCAAGCACAAGTAGTTCACTCACTCCCAGCACAGGCCTTCCCGAGAGTGGGCCAGGGGTTAAATGCACAGCCAGGCTGAAATTTCAGGTCACTGTTGGACGTCACGGGACTGATGGAGCTGACTTGCCCTTGGAAGGCTTTGGGAGGCACCATGCCACTGAAGGGACCAGGACTGCCCCTCTCCTTTGTGAAGGAACCCTGGAGTGCTTTTGCCCTTTCCAGGTTAGAACTTTGAAGTTGGGTTGGGACAGTTCTTGTTTCCCTTTGTGGGCGCTTCTCCTGCCCTCACCGCGCTGGCTGCCCTTGGCACCATTCCTGGCCTCTAGCCCGCACCTGTGGGTGGGGCCCCACTTGCCTCTAACTTGAGCCCGCAGCTGCCTGGCCCTGTGCCCGTTGCGTAAGTAGCCTGGCATGGAACAGGGGCTTGTAAACATCTCTGGAAAGCCAGGAAACAGGTCTTTCAGCTTTGTGGGCCAGAAGGTCTCTGAAGCTGCCTCCTGGTTTAGCACAGAAGTGCTACAGGAGACAGTAGCTGACACGTTGGCTCATTCAGTAAGACATCAGTGTAAGGACATTAAGATTTAAATTTCACATAATGGCCACTTCGTGAAATACTCATCTTTTGATCCACTCCACCCATCCCCCAACTATTTAAAGACACATAAGCATCTGTTATATGGGTGGGTTCGCCGGCCTCTGGTCGAGGGCAAGGATTCACCTGTTTCTGCCCAGGGGAGGGCTGGGGATGCAGGCATGAGACTTACTTGGATCTTAGATGTCTGCTGGAGCACTGTCTCAGGGTGTTGAGACAGAGTGCAGACCTTGAGATGTTGGCTGGAATAGAGAGCCATGCGGGGCCTGCCCTGAAGATTTGTAACAGGGAGGTGGGTGAGGACGTTAGCTGTCTCAAGTTCGTGACCCTCAGCAGCATGCAGGATGGCAGACCCTGAGACCCTCTCTCCTTGTTTTTCAGATGACTGTGTGGGATGTGGTGGGTTATTTGATAGGTGGTTTTAACACAGAACTACAGTTACATTTCTTGCGGTTCCGATACCTGGAGTCCAGCATGAGTGTTGAGTGGGTGCAGAGGAGGTTCCCTCAGGGGCCACATTAAGGGATTGCCCCCGGGCCCAGCCCCAGCTCTGGTGGCAACTGGAGGCCTTTGGCCATTGCCAGCATCACGTCCATGTGTTATGCCCATCTCCACATTTTCCATTTTAGCAAATCACCTGGTTTTTCTTGATTAGAGTCTTAATCTCATTTTTTTACCTTCTTAGAGATTCTCTCTCCAGATGAAATCATATTCTGAGTTACCGCTGCCTATGAATGAATTTGTTGGGAGGTCCTCTGAGAATGTGGAAACAGAGGCTCACTAACCATCCTGGAATGGGGTGTGGACAGCCTTGGTCTCTAGTTTGCTGTTTGAATTGGGTGGGATGGTGGCCATGAGCCCTTACCCAGCCTTGTAGCACTCAGCTAGGGTCAACCTCTGAAATTTCATGTCCTCCATGACCATGAGAGATGACCAAGGTGGCCGGGCACCCTCTTGCTGGGCAGCATGAAAAGATACTGGTGTTTTGAGACTCCTGAAAACAAGGCAATGTTGTCATCTCAGCACTGGGCTTCTAGGGAGTTCCCCAAATTCCTTCCTGTGACGACAATGGTGTTTCTTGGAGCAACTGGAGACGTGGCCATCTTCTAGACTTTATGATGACTGCTGATGGGCCCTGGCTTCCTAGTCATGCCTTTCATTATGCAGAGACCTTGGGTTTCCAGAGAGTTAGAGAAGGAGGAAGAGAGGTGGACAGGGGTAGATGGGCATTCCAGCACAGCAACCCCCAGCCACCTTCTCCCTCCTGTTTCTCAACACTGCAAGAGCAGGTGGTTAGTGGGCTACCTCAGCTGGCCTGGTTTTGCTGTGCTCCAGGTCTTTCCTCTTTGAACATGAGCTTCCTGATCCTGGGGTCTTGTAAGTACTCTGACAGGGATTCCCCAGTTCTGAGGACTTGTTTGACCCAAGAACGGCATGGCTGGCTATTCTTTAGCAAGCCTGATGGCTGGACTCTGGTGCCTGCTTGGTCTCTCCTTTGGGAATGAGGTCTCTCTTGTTTATGAACACTTCTTACATCGTCCAAGCTTTTTTGGCGGTATAAGTCATGTTGAGTGACATTTTTCTGGTGCCCGTGATGTCAAACACTGCCTGTGTGTTTACAAGACCCATCTGTTTTCCCACGTGGCATTTTTTCTGGGGTCCTCTGGTCCTCACCTTTTGGTACATCTGAGGTTTGTGTTTCCTTTGAAGCTCTCATGTGTGAGGACTGGGCTCTGAAATCTCAGCATGTGCCCTGGCTACACAGGGAAGGGTTGTGTGTTACATGGATGTGGATCACAAATGCTGGTCTGTGAAGGTGTCTGAGCATGAGCGCTGTTGCAGGCGGAGTGGCTTCCCACCCTGCCCAGGACAGCACTCCTATTAATGCCCACAGCAGGACAACCACCCCAGGTCGTAGATGGCACCAGGGACTCAAACCTTGAGCCCCACCATATCCTGTGTGGTAGTCGAGTCTACCCTTGCTGGTGTTGTTCTGTGGCTGTCTCACTGTGTCACCAAGACGACAGCAGATCCTTCACTGTGGGCATTCCAGAGCCTGTCAGAGTACTTACAGACCCCAGGATCAGGAAGCTCATGTTCAAAGAGGAAAGACCTGGAGCACAGCAAAACCAGACCAGCTGAGGTACCCCACTCCTCCCCAGTATGTCAGGAGGGGACCACACTGCTCCATTGGGTTGGAATCTGCCTGGGTTCAACTGCTGCTCTGATAACAAATAGCCAGTGGCTAGAGCAGAAGCAAGAGCAGGCTAGCCTAGGGCAGGCTAGCCCAGAGGGGACTGCTGTGCTCCTTCTAGCAGGGCAGCTCTGGAATGCCCACAGTGAAGGATCTGCTGTCGTCTAGTGTCTATCCCCCATCTCACCCCTGAAAGGACCCTTAGAACAGAGCCCATTCTCAGAATCTTCTCACACTGCCCTCTCTGTCTCCTAGGGCATCCCTCTTCTCCTGGATGGAAGGCCAGGTCTTGGAGTTCTTCCTCTGACAGCGGGAGGCCAACATCCCCCAGCAGGTAAGCGGGCCTCGATGAAGCCGCTGCCCTTACCCACTGCCCAGCAGCAGCGACTGACGCTTGAGATGCACAGAACGGTGAAGTGTGTGTCCAGGGTAGAGAGGAGGGAAGGCTCCCAGCACACAGAGCCCCACTAGAGCAGGGAGCAGTAACTCGCATAAGTTGCCATCAGCATCTCCCTTATTACCCCCCCCCATGCCCTCCAGCTCACAGTGTGCCCAGCTGGGGAAGGCAGTTGTCTGAAGCTGGCACCTGTGTATTTCCAGGATGGCCACATCCCCGTTTACTTTCTGTGAATTCCCATTCATGTCCTGTGGACAAACCAGTGCAACAGCTTATTCTCTGGTGACAGCATGGGGCAGCGCCAGTCGCCTGTCCTGCATTTGCACAAAGAGACTGTTATTGTAACATGAGTTTCCCAACTCCAGTGTTGAGTGGTTGGTTCCATTGGCCCTGAGGTTACAGATCACCCCCCCCTTCCAATTGGGGAGGTGTGTGTGTCAGGAGGAAGAGGATTAGTGGGTGCTCCGATTAGTTCCTGTTTGTCCTGACCTTTCCCTTCTGGCTGTCAGTAGGACCACTGTAGAGTCAGTGGGAGAGGAATTACCACACGGTATGGAGGTACCTATCTTTTTCCCTGCCCAGTGGAAAACATTGGCTATACCCCTGAGTGCAAGGCTCTTCCTGCTCTGGGGGTGAAAGGGGAGTTTGAAGAACGGCTGCAGGGTCATGCCATCTTCCATTCTGGAGCTTGTATGAGTTTAAATAAAGCCTATCGCTGGCCACACGGCTTTATTAGGGGTTTTCTTTAAGCCCCACGGAGCCTTCTGTGAAGCCAAGTAAGCTGCTTGTTTGTTTCTATGTCATTCCCCATCTTCTTTGTCTTATCTGTGTTCCAGTGCACACGTGTGCTAGGGTAGGGAGAATGCCTGGGTGTCCTGGGATACCTCGAAGTATTCAAGCGCTGTCAGTCCTGGGGTCAGTGCTCAGGTTCCCGAGGTCTGAGGTTTTAACGCCCAGGAAGTGGCCAGCAGCAAGGCTTTTCCTTATAAGTGCAGTTCCTTGCCCTGTAGGCGCTGATCTGTTTGGGTTGTGGAAACAAGCTGAGAGCCATCCACATTCCTCACGTTCTTTTGGCTTGGCATTGGCGAGAGGGGGGCCGGGGCTTGAAATTACTATCAGTCGCTGTGCGGTGATTCTTTCTGGATGAATTCAGGGGATTCCAGAGGGTTGTGCAGCAGGAAATGGGGGAAGGGGCTGCTTCTCCCCTCCTCCACTTCAGGCTTACCTCCCCCACCTCAGACTTGTAAGTCTTGGCTATAGGGTAGAGCTTGGTTGAGCAGGCCCCATCCTGACCTGTGTTAGAGAAAACTAAAGAGACTGCTTTGTGGCCCCTGTGTTAAAGACTGATACCATAACACACAGCACTTCCCTGGGTGGCATTTGTGTGGTTTGCTTTTTCTGGCACTCTGCCAGATTCACTGGGCCAGCAAAATGTCAGTCAGGGAAGAGGAAATAGGAGGAGAGGTGCCCTAGGGTGGCTTTGCATCTCAGATGAGCGAGCCGGACTTGGTGTCTCCCACCTGGGAACTCAGTGAGGTGAGACAGGTGCACCCTGAGGTCACAGATCTTTGAGTGAAGTTTGGGGACTAGATGCCAGTGGTCACAGCACTCAAAGAGCCCAGTTCCCATGATACCTTGGGGTCTGTTCCTGTGATTTTTAATTCCAGGAAAACAAATGTTCTTGGTCTTTAAATTTGCAGCTTGATTGGCCTGGAGATCACTGAGATGGAGAGCTTCCCAGGGTTTCTATGCCCAGAGTTCTGCTGGTGGCCATTTCTGTGGTTTGAGTGGAGCACCTGCAATATAGGTTCTCCTGGAAATATTTTGCCCTATGCCCATGCATGTTGCCATTCAAAGTGATGGACCATATGAGGGTGTGATCTGGTCATCTTGGAGACTAGTGTGACCAGCCCATGTTGTAAAGACTCAGGCATTATTCTGTCCTGCCCCTGTCACCAGACAGAATGTACTCAGGCAGTACCCTGGTTAGCCCAGGGTTCCATGATTGTGCTGTCTGCAAGTAGGTGCAAAGGACCTAAAAGACAGACCCTGCCCACTTAGGCTGTCTTTCCAGCTCTCTTCCTGCCTCCTCTCTTTCCCGCTGTTCCCTTGGGGCAGACTAAGACTTTTCCTGTCCCCCTCTTCTTTTCTGTCTTCTCTCTGTGTCTCTTTACCTCTTTTCTCCTTTCTTCCCCCACCCTCCCCCTTCTAATGAAACGTCTCACTTAAGCTCTGTCTGCCTGGCATGTTTGTCCCTCTGCCTCCGTCAACCTTGCCTGCCATGGAATTGGCCAAGGTTCCTCACACATTCATAACATATGTACCTGTGGTTCAGTCTAGGGGTCTGGCTTGATAGGTTCTCTGCCATTTAAAGAATTAAAAGACAGGAAAAATCTTGTACCATAGGCTGCATGGGCGAAATCTCCAACACTGAAAACAGGAGCAGACAGAACTAACAGTTGAAGAAAGGCTTAAACATGGGCATGCTTCAGGCACACAGAGAAAGGGGCCCTCTGCAAAGCTGAGGCAGAAATCAGTCTCTTTAGGGCTGGGTTTTTTTTTTTTTTTTTTTTTTTTTTTTTTTTTTTTTTTTTTTTTTTTTTTTGTTGTTGTTGCTGTTGTTTTCCTCCCCTAATTTCGGGTTAGTCAGTTTGAAGAAAGATAGCCTAGTTGACAGACTCACAACTGATCCAGCCTTGAACTTGTTGAGCCAGTCCATCAGCAGGGGACTGGCTGGTGGGAGACAAAGGCTGACAAGGCAAGGTGTTTGTTTTAAGCTGCCAGGTTTTTGTCTCAAGTCCGGAGGGTGAGGAAGAAGCAGGAGACTCCCACCTTTATTACCTAACCATGGCCCCCTCCCTGTCTGTCTACCAGGGAGTCTAACTCCTAGTCTCTCACCTGAGACAGTTAAGGTAAACAGGGAGCCTGAGGTCGTGGAGCGCCTGAGCCCTTTGTTATCCTTCCCCACAAGCTCCAAGCCTGAGTGTGAGCTCCAGAGCCTGCAGCTTCTACCATCACCAGCTGTTGCCACTTTGTCTCAGGCCAGGAGCACGCTGTATGTGCTACCCATTTTACAGAGAGAAAAGTCACCTCTGAGAGGGCCCATCCAGCTTTAGCCCAGAGGCTTATTATGGGATAGCAAAGCCCAGGCCTACAATTCCACCAGGTGTGTGTGCCTTCCAAGCCACCTCCTGCTGACTCACTCCTTAGCTGGTACCTGGGAGGCCACGTGAGCCATTGGGCATGTGCCATGTCCCTGATCCCTTCACTGACTTTTAGGGAGAACCCTGACATGAGCTGCAAAGTAGAAATTAATGGGCGAAACTTCATGCTAGGATGGTGTTTTTAAAAGTCAAATATACTATTAAGAAATTAAATGGTCTAAAAGGCTCAACTTTTTCTTTAGGGGGCCAGGTGAAGCCACTCTGTGCAGCTACCTCCTGCCTGGACATTGTGGAGAGTCGCTAACACATTTTGATTGTGTGTTTACTTCAGATCTCGAATGTCCCTCAGAGGTCCATATGTTGAAGGCTCAGCCATCAGCCCGTGATGCCACCTGAAGGCCACAGAACCGTTAGTGGGTGTGGCTTTATGGGAGGAAGTCACGGGCTCACTATTGAGCTGTGAATTTAGGATCGAGTCACACACTAGACAGGAGACACTGGCTTTCAGACTGAGTCATAGTAACTGATACCCACTGCCTGACTAGCCTGGGTGCCTGTGGGCCTGTTTGGGGTCAAGTGTGATCTCATAGTTTCTGGCAGGTGATTAAGTAGTCGCCTGGTCCATAGCGACTACAGGAGGCTGTTCTTGGTATCTTCCAAAACCCCTGGCTTGAAATAGCCACAAAGTCTGTGCGTCCTCATTCAAGAAAGGGCTTCAGCTGAAGGCGGGCGAGAGCAGCAGTGAAGGCGTCTGGGGAGCCAGGACAGCAGAAGGAACCTAAGCATGCTGGTGGCTTTTAAGTGGCTCCGATGGTCTCTTCACCTTCCTTTAAACAGGTGTGGTCCCAGGGACAGATAAGAAAGACATTCTCATCGTACTTGAGGCTTGGGGGCGGGGTAAAGTAAGCAAAATTCCAGTGTTGTTTATATTGAGGGCTTTAGAATGTCTTGATGAAATACTCTTGCATTTGGAAGACCCTTCCAGTCCAATCAGAGAAACTCACTCACTCCCAGCCCCATGCCTAGAGTGCCCGAACAGACTGCCATTTAGGAAAAGCATATAGACAATACGCACAGCTCCCCTGGTAGTCACGGGGTGGGGAATGAGACCGGGGACCCCCTCAGGCTATCTACTCCTGTACCACAGCGCCATATTTACTGTCACCTTCCTGCTTCTTCCTACACACTCCACTGCAGCCATACGTGGCTCTTAGTGCCTGCTAAGTGAGTGCTGTCTACTTTACTCAGTGTATTCTTGAGGGAGTAACAGTGAAGAAAAAGTCTACATGTTGGTACAGACATAATTTTTTAAAAAGATGTATTTTAGTTTTAATTATGTGTATATGTAGATATACACAAGTGTGAGTACTGGTGCCTTTGGAATCCACAAGCGGGTGCTCGGTCCCCTTGGACCACCACTACGACATTCTCTTTCTAACTTCATGTCTTCTTTTTTTATAACCTACTGAATCCAGTTAGTGCTTCCTATGTGCACATGAGTGTGATACCAGCTTCTGGGGCATGTCCAACCTGCCAGTAGAGGTACCACAACTTCTGTGAATCCATGGGTGCACTAAATGATGCTCTGAAGACAGTACCCCTCCCCATTCTCCTGCTTGTACATTCTTTCTGCCCCTCTCTTCAGTGCTATTCCCTGGACCTTAGAGAAGACTGATAAAAATTGCTGAGTTCTCACAGCCAGTTCTCAGCACATTGACCAGTCATGAGTCTCTGAATTTTTTGTCTAAACATTTTTACCTGTGGTTGTTGGGA